GGCAGTGGCCAAGCAGGGGATGCCAAGTTCGGGGCCCTGCGTGCTGTCCTGCACACCCCCCCCCACACACACACAAAGGGCCTGATTGCAAAGCCAGACCCTCTCCAGTCTTCCCAGTGGGGGCTTCCTTTGTTCAGAGACTCAGAAATGACGGACATTCAGAAACAGGGAGCAAAGTGCCTCCGGTTCTCCTTTCCCTGGTTGTCCAGAGCAGAGCAGGGGTGTGCGGATGAGTGGACAGCAACAGGGAGGACAGACAAGGCCAGGGAAGGGGACGGGGGCTTATGAGTGTGGGCCCCTCAAGGCACACACCCACACCAGCCTGTGATCCTGTCTCAACAAGAGACTCCACTGCTAGTGTGTCCTGCCCCTCAGCACCAGGTACCCAGCTATCTACCTGTAGAGAACCTGACAGCTCTGGTCCCCTGGCAGACCCACCGTCCACAGCAGGGCGAGGCCTGCAGTCTTGAACCCCAGGATTCCTTCCCCAAAACCCATATAAGCTGGCAAAACTGAGGCGTTTTCTTTTTACAGACATCCATCTGGGTTTTTTCTATGGACCTCCATCTCCAAGACGGGCTGGTTGGTGTGTTGGTGTAGTGGTTAGAGCATGGGACTGGGACTCAGGCGAACTGCGTTCGAGTCCCCGCTCAGCCATGGAGCCAACTGGGTGACTCTGGGCCAGTCACAGACTCTCAGCCCAACCTACCTCACAGGGTTGTTGTTGTGGGGAGAAGATGGAGGAGATGTAAGCTGCCTTGAGCCCTTTGCAGGAAAAAGGCAGGATATAAATAGAAAATAAAAAAAATGCGTACATGGATGCAGGTTTTTGCAGCTTTATGCTGTTTGCATGAATGGAGAGGCAGAAACACTGTTCTGGAGCAATTTGAAGACGCCACTGCGGAACTGCCCTGTCCTGGTTTCCCATTTGTGCAAATTGTGAGAGGCATGTGACTTCCCTTAATGCCCCCCCCCCGCTTTTATTCATGGACAAACGGTGGCCCATCTTAAGGGAGGGCCTTCCACCAAGCGGCTCTCTTACACAAAGACACATCAACACCCACACGGCACTACCAAGCCGGAACTGGGGCGGGGATTATGATCATCCTTCATATTGTTGCCCCGGATTTCTCACACCTTGCCAAAGGTTGAAGGTGCCTCTGCCATTCTTCGGCATCTCCTCACAACCACCTTCAGCCAACAGAAGCACTTTTGTGTAATTTCTCGTGGCTCTTTTGTTTAATGCAAAATCGCCCAGCCCTGTTGAGAAAGCCATACGTGGAGAGGGAAGGCACTGGAAAATGAAGTCAATGAACAGGTGTTTAGTCACACCGAACTGAGCTTCGAGATGTTGAGGGAAAATAGTGTATTGAGTAGTTGCAAGTCATGGGGAGCTGAAGAATTAGGAATAAACACCCCCTTTCAGACGAGAACTCTCCCCTGCAATTACCTGCCCTCCCCAATTTGCCTTCCATAGGGAAAAACACCGCCCCCACCCCGCACCACCACCTTCAATTTTGCCTTCCACAGAGAATAGGAGAACTTGCAAAGCAAAACATACACAAAATGAGTTAATGTTTCTCTTGCTACATCACTAAACTTGGCCTTCATTGGGGAAAATACAAAATACTGGAGGTTGGCAGGAGACAAGGTAATACAAGTAAGAACCTAATTTTAAAATGTACCTCCCTCCCCTCACACACACACACACACACACAAAATTGGTCTTTTTGTTTTGTTTTGCTTCTAAGAAATGCTACCAGGTCCAAATACAAAGGATGAGATGTTGAAAAAGTCATTTGAAAAACATTTTTTGATCTTTGAGAGGAGATTATTGCGGAATATTTTTTAAAAGACAGAGGGGGGCGGGAGGGAGAGAGAGAGAGAGAGGAGGAGAGAGATTTTCAGGTTTTGCTTTGTTTTTTTAAATCAACGATGCCCACTCCCCACAAAAGGAAAACCAAACATAAAATAATAAAAACCCATCCATCAAAACCATTCATTTTTTCAGGAAATGCATTAAAATAAAAAAAATTATAATTCATAATAATTCGTAATTACAGTATTATGCCTGATGGCAAGATATGTACAGGAATTTAACAGCTGCTCCAGCCGAGCCCCTCGCCTCACAGAGATAGACTAGGGCAGAGCACTGTTGATTGTTTTCGATTTTGCAGGCCCCCTGTGAGATTCGAAAAAAGAAATCTGTAGAAAGATGGTTTGGAGGGGGACAGTCCCAAGAGAAAGGTTTGCGCTAAGGTTTCTGTAACAGTCCGGAGGATCCTTTGCTGGCAGTGGTGCCAGGGGTGGATTTCAGGAATTTGGAGCGCGCTCACTGGGTCACCTTCTTCCGTGAAATAGGGCCAGCAACCCCACCTGAGATGAGAAAAGCATTTCAGACTCTTGCACTCTGCACGCGTGTACGGAACCTGGGCTCGGCCAGGAGAGCTGGCCTAAGCGATCCCCTACAGCCCTGCAGTGCGGATGCTCGTTCCTTCGGCCAAGGCTCGTGCTGCCCCTTTGCTGTACCACCACTGGGGTGGCAAGCCACATGGGGGGCCGGGAAGGAGGGGGGGATGAGTAGAGGTGTGGTTTGCAGTGGGGAAAAGAGCCACGGACCTTTCCACGGAGAGAACAGCCTCTGTTCTGGCTTAGCCTGGACGGAAAGCTCTGTTCCGTCAAAGCCTCACCCATGTGCCTTCTGGGAAGCGTGTTTTGGGTAGCAATGCTGGGGAATCTGCGATGGACTCCTGCGAGTTCACATTTCTAGGAATCTGATCTGCCACTTTTGCAGCAGACACGGTTCCCCCAAATCATACGAATCTTGGGCTTTTGCAGGCTACTTAAAAAAATGCACAAATTTAGTTGAAGAAATAATTTGGAAAAGGCGACTGAAAGTGCACATCCCCCTCCAAAGCATGAAAATGCAGATTTTTTTGGTGGGAGGATCTGTGCGTTTTTTGGGAGGCTGAATTTTGCCGCTGCAGCTTTGCACAAATGCATTTGAACACGCTTGCGCTTCCCCGCTGGGCTACGGCTCTTCCCTTGAAAACAAAGTGGGTCTCTAGTCCTCATGGTTCTAATAAAGGGGCTGACTGGCACCTTCCTTCTACTGGTTCAGAGCATTGGCCATCAAGCTCAAGGCCGTGTACCCCGAACGGCAGCAGGTTCCTGGGCTGCTGGCCTTCCCCAAGGAGCCTCCTCCCTCACCTATTCCCCGATATTTCTACAGGGAGGTGTTGGGGGTTGAATCCCAGCCTTCTGGCTCCTCTGCCTTGCAGACGTGGCCCCTGCCAGTCCCCACACCTGAATCTTGCCTTCCCACCCGAGTTTTGCCCCTGCCCCTTGTAGCGATCCGCACTGCCTCGCGCTTCCTGTGCCAGCTGTGAATGGATCCCAAAAGAGTAGACGGGCCGGGGTAGCCATGGAGCAGGGGGTCGGGGGCCCAAAGAGCGCGGGAGGGGGAGTCCACCTGAATCCAGTTCTGTTGATGGGGTCACACTTCTGGGCCCAGGGATTCGGAAAAGACCCAGATGGACAGCATGAGGGGCAGGGGCGCGAACGGAGCGGGATCACTAAGCAGCCCTGCAGGTGTCCCCCCGCTGGAGGGCCGGGCAGGAGTGCAGTGGGAGAGGAGGGGCCCGATCCCATGGAGCGTGTTGCTGCGGCCCCTGGGTGCCCACGGCCTATGACCGCACGCGAGGGGGTATTCTGCAGACACTGTGGCGTGCCCACACGAAGGGGCTGTTCCCTCGGCTGTTCTCCTGGCCACACCAGACCCACTGATTGTACTGTGCCAGTTTCTCCCACCCACCCCGAGTTTGTATGAAAAGAGCAACAAGGTTTAAAACATGCCTCACCTCTTGGTTCCTGTTCTGCAGAAACCATCAGTCTGTTCGGATATTCCCCCCACCCCCTGCTCCAAAGTGAGTTCCAAATTCTCCTTGTTGCAGCGTGAGACGGACCCTCTCCCGCGGTCCGTCTCCGGTGGAAATGCAGGATGGACAGAAGCTTCGCGTCCCAAATCGGTCCCTTGGCCCGTCCGGGTGGCAGCAGGCGCACCAAGCTGATGGTCCTTCCGCTAGGATAGCCAAAGGGAACGCAGATTGGCCGGTTTGGCCAGAGCAGCATTCTAGTCCTCTGTGTGGCTTTTCCGAAGCCGCTGCTTTGCTGTGTCACGATCGTCTCGAACTAGAAGGTCTCGACCGCAGGTGCCATTTTGGCAGTTCCAGAAGTAAAGAAATATGATTTGGTCATCACGGGTAATGCATCCCCCCCCCCTCCATCAAGGAGTTTCAAGATAACGCAGCTGATGAAAGTGCCAGTGGCGGGGTGCGGCGGCAGGTCTAAATGAGGCACGGAGGAGAACAGCCCCCCCCCCTCTCCCCCGGCCACTGTCTTTCTGAGTCCTCATTTCAGAAAAAAGCACCGAGTACAAGACAATCAAAACATATGCTGGAAAAGTGGAAAGTAAAGAAACCACGAGTATATTTGGTCTAGGAACATCAAAAAGTAAAACCCCACTGATGTGGGGGAAGGGAAGAAAAAACCCCAGTGGTGTGTGGGTGGACATGTCATTCTGGGGCCAAGTGAAGAAGGTCCCCGGAGTGTCCCGAAAGCCTGGAACCAGCTCGGCCGTCCCAAGAAAAGTCCCCACGGCACCCGTGCCCCACATTTTTGGCCAGCTGCAACGGTGTGTCTTTGTTTTCCCAAGCAAAAGGGGAGCCGAGCTCAGAAATTCCTTTGCCTGCCTGCCTGTGCCCCCGTTTTACGTTGGTTTGCAGCTGAGTCCGCAGTTCAGAGTTCACGTTAACTTCCCCCTCCCCCCAAAAGCTGGACAGGTTCTTGTTTTAATTGTGTGGACAATCCAGCAAGAAAGTGTCCTTTTGGCTCTGCAGCGCACCCATGTGCTCTGCTGTCTCCCCCCGTCTTTCCCCACCCCACATTTCCCAGCAGCTGCTGAAAGACACTTGGCTTGGTCTTCGGTCATCACACTGGGGCTAGGATGTTAGAATAGTCCAAAAGACGGGGACCACCACAAAGAAGGATTCGGGGACCGTGAAGCTGCGGCAAGAATTATTGCTGGTGAATATCGGTTCGGGAGATTCGTAGAGGGAATCGTCTGGTGGAGACAAAGAAGGGAGGAAGAGAGAGAGAGAGAGGAAACGTTTTTCAAACCCTGTGAAGAGTCAAAGCAAAGATCTGCAAACATGGGTGCTGACCCTCGGGCCTGCCAAATTTGGAACTCTTCGGCTCCCCAGACGGGAGCTCCCCATGCTCCCTTCCGTTGGCTTCACCCCCTTTCCTCCAGCCACCAACTTTTGGGGGTTTCTCAGCTGTTCTGCCCTATCCTAAAACACTGAATCGCCTCTCTAAAGCTTAAGCACGCAGGAAATGATTTACCAGAAATCATTATGCTGGCAGGTGGGTGCTTGGGCATGCGGCCCTCGGGCTGAGAGGGGTTCCACATCCCCGCTCTAGCCCCACGCAATGGGGGGTTTGCATCGAGCCGTGGTGGGGAAGGACCACGTGCACCATCAACAGAGTGGCAGGAAGCCCCTAAGCATCAGCCCCGTTTCTCTGTGCAGAGCAGCTCTCTGGGGGCTGCCTCCTCTTCCACTCAGGTTACGGGTTCAAGCACAAAGGACCAAAAGAAGAGCTCCTTTTGCCTGTGTCAGTGCACATGACTCCAAAACCTCTCTCTCTCTCTGGCTTTAAGGAAGAACGTCTCCAAAAGACACATGCCCTTGTCAAAAGGAATGCAGGATAAGGGGAGAGAAGGTAAACCGCAGCAAAACCTCAGGTGGAAAGGTTCGGGGGGGGGGGCAGCAGGAAGGGATGCACGTCTGGCCAAATGCTGGCTCATCGCTTGTGATTTTGGCAAGTGCCCACAGATGGAAGGCAGGGTGGGCCGTGCCCCTCCTCCAGAGACTGGGGGCTCAGCCCTGGAGGGTCACCCCCAACACAGCCTTCACCTGTCTCTGTATGAAGTGGTGATGTGGTACAGTGGTTACAGCAACTGGCTAGGATGGGGTGGGCCTAAGTTCTAACACTGCTGAACCGTGCGGCTCTACGCTTGGGAAAGTTCATCCTTGGCTTTTTCTCGCAGCCTAGCCTACCTCACAGGGATGCAGAGAGGGTGAAAGAGGTGGGAGAGCACCACACAAGCTGCCTTGAACGGAGAGGAGGAAAGACAGGCTACAAATGCGGTACTGCCGTTCTGGGCCTTCGAGCTGTCCCTGACGTACGGTGTAAATGGAAGCCCCCCCCAAATGCCCCCCTCACGGCTGCCCTGCACAAGCTCCTCTTTCAACCTGCGTCCATCCCCTAAGTGGCCTTCCGGGTTGTCTTCTGCCTTGGTTTCCGCCCGCATGACGGTCTCCTCCAGGGAGTCAGGCCTTCTCAGGATGCGTCCAAAGCAGGACAGCCCAAGTTTGGTCCTTTTGCTTCTAGAGGAAGCTCTGCGCTCCAGCTTGATCTGCTCCAGGACTTCCTTGCTTGTCTTTCTGTCCTTCCAGGGTATCTGCAAAGTTCTCCTTCAGCACCAGGCTGCAAACAGATCCATGTTCCCCTGCCTGCTTTCCTCACTGTCCAGCTTTCAGACCCCCACAAAGTGATCGGGAATACGAGAATGTGGGTGATCTTGGCTGGGATGAATCTAACGTGCAAAAGGAAGGGGAAGGGGAGGGGAGAGACGGGAGACAGAGACCACGACACGTGGCCTCCTAGAAAGCACGCTCCCTAGACCCCTTCCTTGCGGGTTGGAACCCACCAGCTAGTCTTGCAACTCGACATCCCAAGAGGCTGGGAGCATCAAGGCCGGGCCGCCTCCTCCTCCACGTCCTCCTGACCCCCAAGGTGCAGGGAAGGTGCTGCTGCAAAGGTGAAGCACAGGCGCAACTCCAGGGACACTCAGGTCCAAGTCTGTGCCCAACCCCTGATGCTGAAGAGGCTGAAGTTGACCGGTTCTATGAAGGCCTACAGCACCTTCTGGAATTAACTCCAAAAATGGTGTCCTCATCATCATGGGCGAGTGGAATGCTAAAGCAGGAAGCCAAAAGATAACCAGGATAACAGGCAAGTTTGGCCTTGGAGTACAAAATGAAGCAGGGCACAGGCTGGTAGAATTTTGTCAAGAGAAGACACTGGTCATAGCAAACACTCGTTTCCAGCAATACAAGAGACGACTCTACACATGGACATCACCAGACGGTCAACACAGAAATCAGAGTGACCATGTGCTCTGCAGCCAGAGGTGGAGAAGCTCTATACAGTCAGTAAAAACTAGACCAGGAGCTGACTGTGGCTCAGATCATGAGCTTCTGGTTGCAAAATGTAGGCTTAAATTGAAGAAAGTAGGGAAAAGCACTAGGCCACTCAGGTATGACCTAAATCATATCCCTGCTGAATATACAGTTGAGGTGACAAATAGATTTAAGGAATTAGATCTGATAGACAGAGTGCCTGAAGAACTATGGATGGAGGTTCACAACACTGTACAAGAGGTAGCAACCAAAACCATCCCAAAGAAAAAGAAATGCAAGAAAGCAAAATGGCTGTCTGAGGAAGCTTTACAAATAGCTGAGGAAAGAAGGGAAGCGAAAGGCAAGGGAGAAAAGGAAAGACACACCCAATTGAATGCAGAATTCCAGAGAATAGCTAGAAGAGATAAGAATGCCTTCTTAAATGAACAGTGCAAAGAAATAGAAGAAAACAAAAGAACAGGGAGGACCAGAGATCTCTTCAAGAAAATTGGAGATATGAAGGGAAAGTTTCATGCAAAGATGGGCATGATAAAGGACCAAAATGGCAGGGACCTAACAGAGGCAGATGAAATTAAGAAAAGGTGGCAAGATTACAGAGAAGAGCTATACAAGAAAGAGCTCAACGTCCCTGAGAACCACGATGGGGTGGTCACTGACCTCAAGCCAGACATCCTGGAAGGTGAAGTCAAATGGGCCTTAGGAAGTCTGAGCAACAACAAAGCTAGTGGAGGCGACAGTATTCCAGCTGAGCTATTAAAAATCCTAAAAGACGATGCAGTAAAAGTGCTACATTCAATATGCCAGCAAATTTGGAAGACTCAATAGTGGCCACAGGATTGGAAAAGGTCCGTTTACATTCCAATCCCAAAGAAGGGCCATGCCAAAGAACGTTCAAAGTACCGCAACATTGCACTCATTTCACATGCTGGCAAAGTGGTGCTCAAAACCCTACAAGCTGGGCTCCAGCAGTATGTGGACAGAAAACTACCAGAAGTACAGGCAGGGTTTCGAAGAGGGAGAGGAACTAGAGGTCAAATTGCCAACATACGCCTGGATCATGGAGAAAGCTAGGGAGTTCCAGAAAAGCATCTACTTCTGCTTCACTGACTATGGTAAAGTCTTTGATTGTGTGGATCTTTATATATCGTGGCAAGTTCTTAAATAGATGGGAGTACCAGACCATCTTATTTGTCTCTTGAGAAACCTATATGCAGGTCAAGAAGCAACAGTGAGAACTGGACACGGAACCACTGATTGGTTCAAAATTGAGAAAGGAGTTTGGCAAGGCTGTATACTGTCGCCCTGCCTATTTAACTTACATGCAGAGCACATCATGAGAAAGGCGGGGCTAGATGAATCACCAGTTGGAATTAAGAGAAATATCCACAACCTCAGATATGCAGATGATACCACTCTCATGGCAGAAAGTGAAGAGGAACTAAAGAGCCTCTTGATGCGGGTGAAGGAGGAGAGTGCAAAAGTTGGCTTGAAACTCAGCATTAAGAAAACTAAGATCATGGCATCCGGTCCTCTCACTTCCTGGCAGATAGATGGGGAAGAAATGGAGGCAGTGACAGATTTTATTTTCCTGGGCTCCAAGATCACCACAGATGGTGACTGCAGCCAAGAAATTAAAAGACGCTTGCTCCTGGGGAGGAAAGCTATGGCAAATCTAGACAGCATACTAAAAAGCAGAGACATCACCCTGCCAACAAAAGTGCGTATAGTCAAGGCGATGGTTTTCCCAGTTGCAATGTATGGATGTGAGAGTTGGACCATAAGGAAGACTGAGCGCAAAAGGATTGAGGCCTTCGAATTGTGGTGCTGGAGGAGACTCCTGCGATTCCCTTGGACCGCAAGGCGATCAAACCGGTCAGTCCTAGAGGAGATCAACCCTGACTGCTCTTTAGAAGAACAGATCCTGAAGATGAAACTCAAATGCTTTGGCCACCTAATGAGATGGAAGGACTCCCTGGAGAAGACCCTGATGCTGGGAAGGATTGAAGGCCAAAAAGAAGGGAACGGCAGAGGATGAGGTGGCTGGATGGGGTCACTGGGACGGTGGGTGTGAGCTTGGGTAGACTCCGGGGGATGGTGGAGGACAGGAAGGCCTGGAGGAGTGTTGTCCATGGGGTCGCGATGGGTCGGACGCATCTGTGCAAGTAACTACCTCCTCCTCTCCTAGGCCACCTGCAGCTGTTTTCCTTTGGATCAGTGCCCCACCCCCTCCATTAAAGCCATCTTCAGAGCCCAGGACAGAAGTCGCAGAAGCAGACTGTGTTTCTTCCGTCACCTGGGGTTCCCCCAGCAGGCTTGTGCACTTCCCGTGCGACTGCGTGATGCACAGAGAGGTCGCACCGGGGGAGCCACTCGCTGCTGGCTCCCAGCCCCAGCTGCTCCCAGACAGGGCTTGGTTTCAAAGCACGCAAGAGGTCTTTTGCAAGATGGAACGAAGCCAGGCAGGAGTGCTGCCAACCTCTTTGGCTGCCAGCGACATGTCCGGGGACCTGGCAGGGTCGTGGCTGTGGTGGAGTTCTTCGTGTGCTTGGGTGGCACGCTACTGCAGAGGTCAAAATGGCATGGACTCAGAGAAATCCCCTAATTCCACTTCCAAAAGGCCCCCTGATCAGCCAGTGATGCGGAAGCGCCTCCGAGGGAATCCGCAAAATTACAATGAAAGACATTTTAACGCCATTCCCTCAGCTCAGCACCTCTTAATTTTATTACTGGATTAAGGGCGGTTTTGTTGGAAGCACCGCCAGGGAGACGGGGAGAAGAGAGAGAGAAGACTCAGCGATGCCATGCTGAGATGCAAATGTCTGGAAATTGTGTTGTTAGTCAAGAGGACATGGCTAGTACTAGGGGACGCAGGAACACGGCTACAAATGCAGCAGCAGTCCCCTGCCTTCGTGCGGTGGCCATTTAGCACTTCTAGGGTGACCCGAAACGAGTGTTTCTGCTCTTTCCAGGGCTCCCTTTAGGAAGGGCTAAATCTCTGGTGGGCAAGGTGGGAGCAGAATTGTGTGGCGGGAGGGGAGGTGGTGGGTAAGAGAGAATCACAGAGAGGGAGCTTGTTGTGAATCTACTTCTGAATCAGTATTCCTGACTCCCCTTCATGGATCACTGCCTTGTCGTGGTGAAGGGGCTTGTGTAGCTCAATGAAGCGATGAGCTATGCTGTGCGGGGGCACCCAAGACGGACAGGCCATAGCAGGGAGCTCTGGCCAAAGGTGACCCCCTGGAGAAGGAAATGGCCGCCCACTCCAGGACCCTTGCCATGAAAACCCCACGGACAGTGCCAAAAGGCAAAATTGCACAGTATGGCTGTGAGAGCTGGACCACAAGGCTGAGCACTGGAGAATTGAGGCCTTTGAATTGTGGTGCTGGAGGAGACTCTGCAAGTCCCTTGGACCGCAAGGCGATCAAACCGGTAAGTCCTGGAGGAGATCAACCCCAACTGCTCTTCAGAAGGCCAGATGCTGAAGATGAAGCTCAAATGCTTTGGCCACCTGATGAGATGGTAGGACTCCCTGGAGAAGAGCCTGATGCTGGGAAGGATTGAGGGCAAGAGAAGAAGGGGGCAGCAGAGGATGAGGTGGCTGGATGGAGTCACTGAAGCAGTCAGTGTGAGCTTGAGAGGACTCCAGGGGATGGTGGAGGACAGGAAGTCCTGAAGGAGTGTTGCCCATGGGGTCATGATGGGTCGAGCACGACTTTGTGACAAACAACACCAATGTATGGCTGTGAGAGCTGGACCATAAGGAAGGCTGAGTGCCGAAGAATCGAGGCCTTTGAATTGCGGTGCTGGAGGAGACCCTATGAGTCCCTTGGACCGCAAGGCGATCAAACCGGTCAGTCCTAGAGGAGATCAACCCTGACTGCTCTTTAGAAGGCCAGATCCTGAAGATGAAGCTCAGATACTTTGGCCACCTAATGAGAAGGAGGGACTCCCTGGAGAAGAGCCTGATGCTGGGAAGGACTGAAGGCCAAAAAGAAGGGGACGGCAGAGGATGAGGGGGCTGGATGGGGTCCCAGGGGCAGTGGGTGTGGGCTTGGGTGGACTCCGGGGGATGGTGGAGGACAGGAGGGCCTGAAGGAGTGTTGCCCATGGGGTCGTGATGGGTCGGACACGACTTTGTGACGAACAACACCAATGTATGGCTGTGAGAGCTGGACCACAAGGCAGGCTGAGTGCCGAAGGATTGAGGCCTTTGGATTGTGGTGCTGGAGGAGACTCTGCGAGTCCCCTGGACCGCAAGGCGATCCAACCGGTCAGTCCTAGAGGAGATCAACCCTGACTGCTCTTTAGAAGGCCACATCCTGAAGATGAAACTCAAATCCTTTGACCACCTAATGAGAAGGAAGGACCCCCTGGAAAAGACCCTGATGCTGGGAATGACTGATGGCAAAAGAAGAAGGGGACGGCAGAGGATGAGGTGGCTGGATGGGGTCACTGAGGCAGTGGGTGTGAGCTTAAGTGGACTCCGGGGATGGTGGAGGGCAGGAAGGCCTGGAGGAGTGTTGTCCATGGGTCGCAATGGGTCGAGCACAACTTCGCGACTAACGACAACAACAACAAATTCCTGACTCAGGCTGGCAACCGCGGCCTCCCAGGTTTTCAGGAATATGGAAGTTGAAGAATGCAACAGGCCACTGCCCCACTTCTGCCTCCTGCGTTCCTGTGCCCCACACTGGAGCCAATTCACTTGCATGAGAGTCAGACCACTCTGGGGGGTCCATCTGTAATTCAGGTGATGTTTTCTGCATTAAAGCAAAAAGCAGGCAAATCGGGAACTGGGTGCAAATCAAGCTGTATTCCCTTTCTACAGAAATGGGAAGCTGAAAACGATGTTCTAGCACGAGCTTTGCAAATCACATAAACCCAGCTTCTGCTTTGCACAGATTGTATGAATTTACACACACTGTGCAAGGAGCAGGGGTTTGTTCAAATTTCCTTGGCACGGGAACGAAACATGATTCTGCTGCAGCCCATCTGAAGAGACGGAAATCCGCAGGGTATAAGCAGCTACAACAAAAGCTCTCAGGCCACTTCTGATTATCCGATCGGAAGCAAGAGGGAAGTCTAAAATCAGGTTCCCAGTGCGAACGGCAGCAGATCGGGAGCTGGATTGGGAGCCTGCACATACTTGGAGGCCAATTTCTGCCTTAGCTGGCCCGCTCTCCAAGCCAGTGAGTCCTATTGGCCTTTAAGTTTGGGATGGCTCGTGGCAGGATCAGTCCACAGCCAAGCAATGCCTTTTCTGCAGACTGCTTGGATTCACCCTTTGCAGCCATCTTTGGGCACAGCATCTCTCCCCCGCTGCACAAGACAGAGAGGGGTCTTAGAGCCCCCCCACACACATTTTCGCTCATCCTGCCAGCTTCTGTAAGCATCCCCTTCCCACTTTGGCCCCAAGAAAGTGGGCGGAATCGGCCGCTCCAACGGTGTCCCGGGCTCTCAGTGAGAAGTAGCTCGGAGGGAGCCGAGTGCCCAGAGCAACCAACTTATGATCCAGTGAGGGAACTGAGTCCAGGGTGGGCACGTCTAGACAGGGAAAAAAAGCCCTTCAAGTTGCGGCAAGATGAGTCTTTGAGGGGAACCTGCCTCTCCAACTTGGTGGGGAGGTCAAACCTACACACCGGTTTGCTCAGGTAGAAGGAATCGACAGAAGCCTTGTGTGAGGGCAAAGCCGCCATCCCCCTGGATACAATCCATAATACTTACTAAACTCGGAACAAAACAACCCCATGTTTTTAAACAAAAAGAAAGCACCCCCTCCCCACAATTAAAAAAAAAGAACTTTGTTCATTCAGGGTTCTGTCTTCTTTGAAAGCCAGCTAAAATCGCACGCACATACAACAGCAAAAGGAAAGAAAAAAGTCAGGCTCCCTTTTTGACTCTGACATTTCTAGCTCCTAACACACTCCTTAGGAAGAGCTGTGGCCAAACACTTAATTACCGGTTAACAGGAGGAAAAAATAATTAATTTCTGTTTTCTTTTTCTTGTTTCCCCCTGCAGCTGTGCCATTTGATTCTAAGAAAATAGCCCCTGTACAGAAGGAGCGTTGGCTCTTTTCTCCCTCCGTCAAAACAAAACCAGCCAGGAATTTACTCTGTAGGCTAATTTATGAGGCATCAATCTAGATTTCTTCCCCTCGCTTATTTCTTCTTAAAAAACAAAGTAGAACCAAATGTAATTTATTGGAAATTTGCGTACCACCTGGGCACCTTCCACTTAATCCAAAAATTAAAAATAAAAATCAAGCACAGCCAAGAAACAAAAGGTTAACGCTTCCTGAAAAGGTCAGGGGTGCATTTGAGCCTCAAAGGTGTTCCACTCATTTGCTATCAGGAGCATTCTGCAAAAGCGGGGCTTATTCTATTTTAAAACTTAAGCATTATGAACATGCAGCTCTTTGTGAAAGATTTGGAATCCATCACCGTATTTGCTTTAATAGCAAACATAGGTGGTTTAGTGCCAATCATTCTGAGAGCAAAACTGGCTAGCCAAAACTACGGGTGAGATTTCTCTATCTGAAGGAGGGCTGCAAACTACATTAGCTACATAAATCAGTGAAATGAAAAATTGAAAGCATAATATACTCAGCAAGACCATGGTCCACAGTGAACCTCTAGAACCTTCCAGGGGCAGTGGTGAAAGAGCGTGGAAAAGACCACTGGAAGTGGGGCATCATTCAGCCAATATTCCCTTGCCACTTTTGCTACTCATTGGCTGCTGGTAAAGCAAGATTTTCAAGCTGCATCTGGTGTCAGAAGGAGGCCTCGGGGCACCAGTTGCTGGGGAACATGGGTGCTGCAGTCCTCCTGGCCTGCAGAGCACCTGCATGGGATCCTCTGAAATAACCACAAGCTCGCCAAATGCCTTTTTGGGCATTCATGTTACTTACTTGTTGGTCGAACATAAACTTTCAATTTTAAGCAGGGCTGGTCAACCAAGTTAGGTGGCGTTGCCGCTGGAAAAGAAAGCAAAGATGTGGGGTAGGGTGAGGAAGAAAGAGAGAGCAGCGTTAGAGAAGAGCATAGTCTTTCCACACTCGGCTTGCATTTCACACAATTGCACCGTGTAAGGGGATGGGCCACTGGTAGTCTAAATTCTTCTGCAAAACCCATTAGTATTATCATTATAGGGAGTTATTACTGATGGTTGAGAAATACCTCTTTCAAGTTTTGCAGCCCCACATGACTCCATCTTCTCTTCCCACAAAGCAAGACCTGTCCTCTTAAGCATGGCCCTTGGGTTTGGTTTTAACTTCCAAAAGTCTCTATGAGCAATCTGGCCCCCGTGTTTGGTCCCGTTGCCTCATTCACATCTTTCCCCCTCCTCTGCATCAGAGCTTGTCAGATCTTCTTTTCTCCTTACTAAAACTCCTAAATCTATCACAAAAAGCCAGAGGGAGTTCGCAACAGATCAGCTGCCCCACTGAAGGAAGAAAAAGCTGGAGTTTGAAATAGATGAATTGGTCCATTTGGTTTCTCTCAGTTCCTCCTTTTTCTACAGCTTAAGTCCAAGCCATCCTGAACTTTCAGACTGTCTCCACTGGTAAATTTGGCTCACTCCAAACTTTCAGGATTGTAAAATAAACTGCCTGAATGGAATGTCATGGACATTTTGAACCCTTTTCTCTCAATGCATGCACTGCTGCTTTTAAAAGATTCACACATTTCTGCCAGCCGTTTCCCAATTCTAAGTCCTGTTTTCTCCATTGTGTGCTTTCACTTGGCAGTCTCCAATGCAAACATTGAAAATGAAACTTCTGCAGAATCACCGGGTTCAGTTTTGCAGGGAAGTTCGGCGGTGTGAAACTGGCTCAGTTCACACTGAAACGTCAGCTGTGCGTATGATTGCTTGGAGATGATTTTCCAGTCGTGCTTCAGGTAGAGACCAGCCGAATGCATCAGAAAGAGAATCCAAGGCCGACTGCATGTAGTAATTAATGGCAGGCAAATTGCAGCAGGGGTGCACCTCTTGTCTGGCCCTTTGTCACACCAGCCCCGATTGCCGTTTGACCCACCAATGTCCCCAGACCCTCTTAAGAAGCTTAGAGGAATCGCAGATGCCGCCCCACAGTTTCTGTTTCTTCCAGACTCCATCTTTGATCAGTCCCTGACATGGATGTCAAAAGTTGTCTGACCCCCATGCAGGATGCTTTCTCCGTCCCGGACATCTTTGGAGACATTCGGACTTCCCGCAAGAAACACCTGCCAACTCCTGTGACACGCCCTGAATGCCTTCTCCTCAGACGTGAGGCGACAGAATAAAGGCTCACTTTGATCGCGGGAGTAAAAAGTTTGTAATTAAAAGTGAGGGTGGGTGGGAATGATCCGGGGTGTGAAATCGCCTGGATTAGGGATGGACAGTTTGACTGAGAAAAGGGGCCAAAAAAAAAAAAAAAAAAAGTTTGGAGAGGGGAAGGGGGAACGAGGGGGGGCATTTGACAGCACGGATTTCTACCCTGCTCCGAAACGGATCGGATCTGACAGCCCGATTCTTGGCAGGCGAGGGGATATCCTGTTTTAAGAAAAGGAGAGCGCTTCCTATCCATGCAAGATGAATGTTAATGCCACATCCAAACACCGATTAATGCCGATTTTCCTCCGGGGGCCTGTGGATCCAAATCACCCCCTCCCGTAATTCACCCTCTTCAGCCACTGTGCAGCTCAAGAATGGATAAACCAAAAGGATAGTAAGAAAGAATTTTAAAAGGAATGCCCCCTTCCCCACCCCAGATTCCCTTTGTTGGTTGGAGCAAGTTTTTCTCACTTTGCATGTGCCCTCCAGATGTCGAGGGATCCAGATGTTTAGGATTTATTCACACTGCATATGTTTTAATCTGTTTCTCATTCCCGCTTTTTCGTGCATTTCTGGTAGATCCCACCCACCCAATTTCCCAGAGGGGTAAGAAACTCAGAGCACAGAGACAAACCTTTAAAGGGTTCCTTCTCTTGTGCATCCTGGAAATCAACTCTTTTGCAAACCCCTTTCGGTTACAAAAGGACAAGGTTTGCAGGCAACAGAGGGGAAAGAGGAGAGATCATACTGACGCGATTCTCCTACTCTGGATCTTTTTCAAAATGTGTAACTAGTCCTTCTGCCGTGCAAACATATGTCAAAGGAGAATTCACTAACAATACCTCGCGTGTTTATGCACAGCCAAACTAGGTTGTGTAAGAATTTTTCCTTTTTTCTGACCCATGTTTTCTTGTTATCAAAGGATCCTTCGGCTGCAAATGCATTCCTTCAACCGCATTCGTTCTGTTATTCATTTATTCCATTTTTTTTCATCTCTATGTGCGCTTGTCTGCTTGTGTGCTTTTGCTGGCCACTTGTTCTCTCAACAGCTGCCTCCTATTGTCTGCCTTTATTTTCCCAGAATGCTGTTGCACCAACCCTGGGCATTCTGGGATTTGGGGGCCAGCTGGTGTCCCAGCCTCCATCCCTTTGCGGCAGGCTCCACTTCCTCTTCAAACACTCCAAACAAAAGGAGGCATCGTCCAAGGCATCTGGGAAAACAATGGTGTCCACGAAGAACCAGCTTCTAGGAGAATATATACTCCTGCTGGAGAAGGTAAATTCTGATCCCGGAACAGTTTGGTGGAATCCCACTAAGCGCCCCATGGAGAGCCGTACCTCACTCTGGCCAGCACTGCTGAAGTTCACCAAAAGCTTCTTGTGTTATGATACTGGAGAATGCTCCAGCTTTGAACCAGCGTCTCCACACGGGCCGCCTCCTCGTCTGCCACTCCCTACCAAGGGTCAGGGTACAGCCCAGGTTTCACAAGCCTTGGTGGATTTCACGGTGAGGTTTCCCAGGCTGCCCCCATTCCGGTAGGCCCAGAAAGGATGCAAGTGAAGTAGGCCATGGATGACAGTTCTCCTTGCTCAGCACCCCCGTTTCCGCGAAGTGCCCCATCATCTCTGGTGAACGTGGAACACCATGGGTTCTTGGCTTGGATGTACATGGGCTGGAAGTCACAGACTTTGCTGGCTACTTGCTTGCTTGCTAGTTGTGAAGTTGTGCCTGACCCATCGCGACCCCATGGACAACCTTCCTCCAGGCCTTCCTGTCCTCCACCATCCCCGGAGTCCACCCAAGCTCAGGCCGCCTGCTTCAGTGACCCCATCCAGCCACCTCATCCTCTGCCGCCCCCTTCTTCTTTTGCCCTCAATTGTTCCCAGCATCAGGCTCTTCTCCAGGGAGTCCTTCCTTCTCTTTGTCGGTTTTTACACTTTTTAGTGTATATGCATTATGGGGGGCGGCATTCTAAGCTCCCCCCCTCCACATATTCCAGCATGGAATGCCAGGAACTGGGCCAATGGAGAGTCATCTGTGAAAACGGTGAGCAAAAACGAAATCCTCACGCATCTCGGTGTGTCTGTCAGAGGAGAGGAGATTTTAGCCAAGGTGTTTTCTGTGGCACACTGCTGAGGGTTGCGCTGTTCAATATATTCAAAATGGTAGGATGCTGAGGCCCCTCTTCGCGCACTCAGAGGCCACTGGCTGGGGCGGGGAGCTCTGGGCAAAAGTTTTCCTTGCTGGAGGGCTCCCGTTCCATACTGGAGAACTGGCATGTGCGGTGCTCATGTGCCTCCCGGCGCAACAAGACGAGGCGAGCCATGGCAGCTGCTCTCGGGGCATTTCAAAATCGTTCCCAGTGGCTTGCTGAGATATTGAGAGGCAACAATATGAGGGCTCCGTCTGAGTTCCCTCTCGCAGCTCCCCTTTCCTTCCCGTCCTTTCTTACCCACCTCCCTCTCCCAGGGAGAGAGGCGCCATTGTCTCGGGACAAGAAAGCAGACAATGCCACCATGAGGCGGCCTTTCTTCACGGCCAAAGGGTGCTTCTCAAAGAGGCCCGCAGACAAGGGAGCAAACCCTCATTTGCATAGTCACGCCCTCTTCATCTGCATCTCTCCCCGCAGATCCGTTTCCCAGAGCCGTACGAAAGTGTGGATGAAACCGGCCTTTAGAATTAGCACCCTGAAAGCTCTACCCCGCATTGCAAAGTGGAGTGTTTCTCTTCAGGTTTGCATTGCCGGTTCCAAAAATACCCAAGCCTGAGAAATTTCTCACTGGAGGACTTTCGGCCCCTCGCCACCCTGCAAGCACCACATGGCCCATGCAGAACTTTTTTTTTTTAAAGGGGGGCTTCGGCTTTGGCCGATTTTCTGAAAAAGGCTGCCATTGGCCGATTTTCTGAAAAAGATGCCAGGGATGCTCGCATGAAGTTTGTGCAATCAGTGTGTGCAACCGGGACCAGGGTTTGGCCACAGCAGCCCCCGCAAGACCGGCGGAACGTCATGCATATTTTTCTGCCTCTAAAAGGAAAAAAGAGGAAGAAAACCACACAGTGTGTCAGACACCAGCAACCTGTGGGGCTCCGCCAGGCGAGTCTGCTGGACTTTGATCACCAACCGCAGATTCCCTACTGCCTCCACAAGATGCCATGTTCCCTCCCGTGCGCATCCCACAGTCCCCAGCATCCTCAGTGGGGTTCAGACTCAGGGGTCCTAAAGACAGCTTGGAAGACCCCACAACACAAGAAATGTGGCCGGTGCCTTCCCTGTCCTGCGTGTGCTGCTGCTTTGGCTCCATGACACAAACCGAGAAATCGAGCGACCTTGTGGCTCTGCTGGATGGATCCATGTTTGGCCTGGGGTGTGTGGGCTGGGCCAGGTCGGGAAACTCTGCCTGGGCACCAGGAGAAATGACACAAAGGCAGATATGCCATTGCTTTTTTGGAAGAGTGCAATCAGACGCAGGTGCTCAGGAAAACTTCAAAGCGCTCCTGCCGCACAAGCCAGCTGGCTTTGCACCCACCAAGCCCAATTCCGGTGCCCAACCGGATGCGGCGTCCCCTTCCCGTCAGGCTGCAAAGCTCGAGTTGCTGGTTCAAAGGGTGCGTTTGCCAGGCATCTTCTTAATCTTCCCTCATAAGTGTTGGGACGAATGGAT